AAAATGCGTTCGGACAAGTATTGAATCGATTCAACTTAGTTTGAATCTTCTCGGCAACAATTGCAATGACTTTAAAACAGCTAATTAAGCGGATTTATCAATTGATTTTTTGAAAAATTACGATTTTTTGATTAATTTAAATAAATCAGTGATTGTTGATTTTTGTAATAAAAATCAATTGTTGCCCCACACTGAAATCCAGACTTTGAGGAGTGAATGTGAAGTTGACAGTGGGACAGTTTGTTGACAGAACAAATGTCGGTCAAATGCGACAAGTCGCAAGATGATCGAGAGTTGGATGTCAGCTGGGCGTTTAATCATAGCTGACGTCAGGCAGCAATTAAGTCTCGGCTCCGAAACCCAAATCTAACCCATATTTAAAAGGAAATTTGTAAACAATGGGTTGGCAAGCGCGTGCCTAGATTGCGTCTAGCGTGTGTAAAAAGAACCACTCCGAATGTGGAGTGTGGGAGATTTCTTGTGGGAATCTGACCCGATCTGACCTCCGAGAGACCCGTAGGGGCGTTCCCATCCATTGTGCTACCGGTAGGGGCGCGTGCGGGGCCCGGGGGACTCCCCCTGCAGTACCACTAATTACCCCCGCGTAATAATGAGGCGGAAGTTGAGCAACTGGCAGGCGGGCAGCGGTACTCTGATTAAATTTGCTGCGAATGTTGTGCTGCAGTGTGGAAGAAGGCTGAAATATAAACACCGAAAAAAAATGCTGTTTTGATTCCACGGGCGTCTTCGATTGTAAGTCAGTGTGTCTCTGTGGCCGGATGCATCCAAAGCGTGACTTGAGTCCGTCTCAGGGCGCTAGGCGGACACGTAGCCACCTCCAGACACCTTTTTTTTTATCTGCGGATGTGTCTTGGCTGCGAATTGTCGCTTGATCAAGGCACACTGACCTACCGAATCATATTTGACTGGTATCAAGGTTACCCGTCAGAAATCGGCAACAATTGAAGTCTACCGCCAGTTGCTTGATTGCTTGATCAATTGGCTGTGTTTAAATCAACCAGGCTTTGCTTTGCCTGTGTGCGTTTCGTTTGAAAAAAATGCTGGAATGTGCAGGCAACAAGAGCGAATTGCCTAATTGAACAAAGCAATGGCAAGCTGATGGCCTTAGGCCGGGTCTCCAATTAACGCACGCGTCCGGCGTTGGCGGCGATCCGTTCGCCGTATAAATTACCATAAATCCGAGTGTTTTTTTCCTCTCCTTTCTTCTCCTCTCAAACGTTGCCCGGTTTGATTTCAGTTTAATTGCTTCATCTGGGCATACATTAGTGCGATATGGGCGTGGGCCGGTCGGCGCCCACTCTTTCTCATTCTGGCCGATTTTGAATTTTAATTACGATTATTCCCGGTTTCGGGCGCGCGTTTCTCTTTATGGGCCAAACGGTCAGATTACTCGGCCGACTGATTGATTTGCCATTAAAAGTGGCGCCCTCCGACCGGTCAGGTACCCGGAGGTACTGCCAATAAAGCTCGCTGCTCTAATAATAAAACTCTCATAAACTGTTCGCCTATTTGGTGTGTATGGCACGTACTGGCGATCGATCGCTTATTGATAACGCGGATTTATTGCCATTTCCCAGGTACTGTTGTTAAGCAAATGGAAAATATGCTCGACGATTCAAATTGATACCAGTCCGGTACCTGCATTGGTGGGCCATTCGAACGGGTCATGCCAGTACCGACTTAATTTGAACGGGCGTTTTAAGACTTTTGCAGTATGTATGAATCAAATCCTGCTAGATCCTGTTGTCGAAACGCGGGTCCAAAACTGAACGATTCTAACAATAAGCGCGCTCTCCTTAAAAAAATCCTAACTGCTTATCTGGGGCAAATATGAACTTGCATGTTTGGCAGCATACAGCAGAAAGTTGATTTTTTTAAGTGAGAAATTTTCATTGGCATCGCTTTAGGTCCTGATTTTTGTTCGCCTGTTTAATCGTGGACCTAAAAATGAACGTTCACGGCAAAAACGCGCTCGCTTTAAAAAATTCATATCTATTCATCTTGGGCAAGTACGAACTTCAAAGTTTCGTTAGGGACAGCAAATAGTCGAGTCTGAGAATTGAGACATTTTCGTTCAAATCGCATTGGATTCGATATTCTCCTGCTATTTGAAAGCGGTCTGAAAATAAAAGTTACTAGAAAAAAGCGACTGTTTCTTTAAAAATGCGTAACTATTCATCTGGGGCAAGTACGAACTTAAAAGTTTCGTCAGGCGCAGCAGACAGTCGAGTCTGAGAATTGAGAAATTTTCATTGAAATCGCACTAGATCCTGATTTTTATTCGCCTGTTTAATCGTGGGCCTAAAAATGAACGTTCACGGCCAAAAGCGCACTCTCTTAAAAAAATTCATATCTATTCATCTTGGGCAAGTACAAACTTAAAAGTTTCGTCAGGCACAGCAAACAGTCGAGTCTGAGAGTGGAGAAATTTTCCTTGAAATCGCGCGGGATTCTGATATTCTCCTGCTATTTGAACGCGGTCTGAAAATAAACGATAATAGAAAAAAGCGTCTGTTTCTTTAAAAATGCGTGACTATTCATCTGGGCTAAGTACGAACTTGAACGTTTCTGCACACATAGTAGACAGTTGTGTCTCAGTATAGAGAAATTTGCATTCAAATCGGACCAGATTCTCATTTTTGTTCGCCTGTTTAATCGTGGGCCTAAAAATGAACGTTTCTAGGAAAAAGCGCGCTGAGTTTTAAAATGTCGTAACTGTTCATCTGGAGCAAGTACAAACTTGAAAATTTTTCAAAACATAGCAGACAGTTTAATTTAAGAATTGAGAAATTTTCCATGATCTCACGCATGATCTTAATTTTTTTCCTGCTGTCTAAACGCGGGTGTAAAAATGAACATTTCTAGGTAAAACGGCCGTCTCTTAAAAAAATTGTAATTATTAATCGGAAGCAAATACAAACTTGAAAGTTTTGAAAATTATAGGAAACAGTTGAATTTTCGAATTGAGAAATTTTCATTGAAATCGCACTAGATGCTGATTTTTGTTCGCCTGTGTAATTGTGGACTTAAAAATGAACGTTCACGGCAAAAACGCGCTCGCTTTAAAAAATTCATATCTATTAATTTTGGGCAAGTACGAACTTAAAAGTTTCGTCAGGAATAGCAAACAGTCGAGTCTGAGAATTGAGAAATTTTCGTTGAAATCGCACTGGATTCTGATATTCTCCTGCTATTTGAACGCAGTCTGAAAATAAACGTTAATATAAAAAATCGTCTGTTTCTATAAAAATAAATGCGTAACTATTCATCTGGGGCAAGTACAAACTTGAAAGTTTTGCAGAATCAAGCAGACTATTCGATTTGACAATTGAGAAATTTTCATTGAAATCGCACCATCTTCTGATTTTTGTTTTGCTGTTTAATCGCGGATGTTCAAATGAACGTTTCCAGGAAAAAGCGCGTTCTGCTTCAGAACGTCGTAACTATTCATCTGGATCAGGTACGAACTTGAAAGTTTGGCAGAATATACTAGATAGTTCAATTTAAGAATTGCAAATTTCTCATTGAAATCGCGCTTGCTCTTGAATTGTTTCCTGCTGTCTAAACCGGGGTGTAAGAATGGACATTTCCAGGTAAAACGGCAGTCTCTTGTTCCTAAATATTAATGGTAAAATCCTAAATATTAATCGAGAGCAAATACAAACTTGAAAGTTTTGAAAAGCATAGGAGACAGTTGAATTTTCGAATTGAGAAATTTTTATTGAAATCGTACTAGATCCTGATTTTTGTTCGCATGTTTAATCGTAGGCCTTAAAATGAACGTTTCTAGCGAAAATCGCGATCGCTTTTAAAAATATGTAACAACTAAACTAGGGCAAGTGCAAACTTGAAAGTTTTGCAGAATCAAGCAGACTGTTCGATTTAACAATTGAGGAATTTTTATTAAAATCGCACTATATCCTGATTTTTGTTCGCCTGTTGAATCGTGGGCCTAAAAATGAACGTTCACGGCCAAAAACGCGTTCTCTTTAAAAAAATCATTTTTATTCATGTTGAGCAAGTACGAACTTAAAAGTTTCGTCAGGCACAGAAAACAGTCGAGTCTGAGAGTGGAGAAATTTTCGTTCAAATCGCACAGGATTCTGATATTCTCCTGCTGAAAGTTTCTGCTCAAATAGGAGACAGTTGAATCTCAGTATAGAGAAATTTTCATTCAAATCGGACCAGATCCTGATTTTTTTGCTGTTTAATCGTAGGCCTTAAAATGAACGTTTCTAGCCAAAAGCGCGATCGATTTAAACATTCGTAACAACTAATCTCGTGCAAGTATAAATTTGAAGGCTTTGCAAAATCAAGCAGACTGT